TCTTTCTCGACTTCATTGAAACTTTCAAGCCATCTATACTATTTGTGCTATCTTCCTAAATTTATAATTTCTCTAATATCCTTTTTGCCTATCACTAACTACTCTTTATTTCGGTAGGCGATTAAAACAGGGTACCTTTACATCGTCCACTATCCATTACTTGATGATGTACCGACCAAAAACGAAACTTCTCCCGTCCATGGCCGTAAACTGATGAAGGCTGTGTCACCTATTGCGCTATTTGCTTCCAAGCCAAGCAGAAACAAGAAACAGCCTAACCAATTGGTACCCTTTGCAATACAGATGGGACATACCAAAGGTCAGGGGATATGTGGGGATAAGCTAGTCGAGAGGGTGTGGTTCTAGACTTGCAGGTTTTGAGGGACTCGAGTAAACTAATCTGGTTTGTTTTCAGAAAAAAATATGAAAAAGTTAGAGCCAAGTTAAAGACAATCATTCTCTGTTCCTTCGACCCTTTCGTCTATCTCCCTTAGCGCAGTGTAGTTGTTGAACTACTTCGTTGACCATAAAATAAATCTTTGGTCATAAGCCGGCTACGTTATTTGTAGCTTCGACAAAACGATGAAACAAATATCAAAAAAACTTTATTAGACCAAGCAAAAGCTCTGTTCAAAATTTTGGGAAGAGTAGAGTGGAGTGTGGCATAGAGTGTAGAGTAGGGTATTCTATTGTTTCAGTAAACTCTTGATCATTTGCTAAAATTTCGCACTTATCATAAAAGTATTTAACTTTCGAAAAGCACTTTGTGTATTAAAAAATTCACTTTAAATATTTATAAAACCAAATTTATTATTATTATTATTATTGACTCTATGGTCAYCTCAGGGTTATGCATGCATGGTTCCAAACACAGATCATTAACAATATAAGCTAAGTTATTCCCAAAGGAAACAATTGCGCAACATATGTATATACTTCTTCCTGTACCAGGAGGGATTGGTTTTTATAAATTTTAACAAAGTTTAACCTTTCAATTTACTCTTCATATTTATTTTCTAGACTCTGATGTTGCCACACCAAACGATGGTGACAAATGGCTTCTAGCAAAGCAGACTGTGCAAGTAGCAGACTTTGTTTATGCTGGATCAGTAGAGCATCTACTCAAGACCCATCTCTTTATTGAACCAATCTGTGTTGCCATGCTTCGCCATTTTCACAGTCTTCATCCACTCCATCAGTTGTTGAAGTTTCATTGCCGAGGAGTATCGGGCACCAATAAGTTCAACATTAACAACCTTACTGGTAGGAACAGCACGTCGGACCTTCTCTTCGCTGTAGGTTACCCAGGAGGATATCAATTACTGAGGAGGTCGTTTGAGGCATCTAGCTGGGATGACGCTGATTTTGTTAAGAACATCAAAGTAAGAAAAATTTCCCTAAAGAGCTGATATATAGTATCTAAACATGAAAAATTACTATTTGACTCAATATTAGTAGCAATGTCAAAGCATCAGAGATTGTARGAATGCAATCTCATCTCATCTCAAAGTTAATTCCCCTCAGGGTTTTATTTGATGTCAGTGAAATTAGTACCAATTATAAATTTGGAAAAACGCATGATTCTTAAGTAAAAAAGTGAATATTTTCTCTTGATTACTTACTTTCCACTTCAAAAGTTTAAATTTCTGGGRAAAAAAGAAAGTCAAAAGACGCATGCGCGACATCGTTGTTATAGTTCATCAAAGAAAGTAAAAATCTAGGATCATAATTGAGAGGAATACCTTTATGATGTGACCTATTTAGACCGGTGGTCAAAACTATTTGTTTAATTCGGTTTTGAATTTTCTTTTATTTATTCCAGAGGCGTGGAATGAATAATAATAATAAGGTTCCCTATTACCCATACCGAGATGATGGACTGTTGATCTATAAATCCATCAAGAATATGGTCTGCAATTATGTACACTTGTAAGTAAACAATAATCAAATGATTTTTCATACTATCTAAACATTTGAAGATCATCAATAAACTAGAACGATTAAAAATTGCCGCTGGGAAGTTCCGGAAGGTTTCATAAAAGCACGTAGCGGCGAATCAGGAAAAAATTAATGGAATCCGCAATGCATGGAAGGAACAAAATCCTCATCATCATTATTATGTTTCACACCAGAATGCGCATACAGCCGTGGTGAATTCTTGTAACACTTTTTACGAGTAGGGTGCTTACCCCTGTGCCTAACCCCAAACCTCAGGACCAGGGGTTGCCATGAGTACAAGACTCCAGCCGACATATGCATAGCTCTAGGGGTCATAGAAACCACAAACTGTCCAACAATGATAAATGGATGATCCCATCGACAGAACAGCTTGAAAGAGAATGCTTTAACAATATCAACTCCAGATATGAAGTAATAATACATGTTTACTTTACAGCTTTTACCGTAAGTCATGTCAAGTTGAATCCGATCCGGAACTCCAAGCTTTTGCTAACGAAGTGTCCGCCGAAGGAAATACTCCTCCTGATGGCGGCAAAGGAATGGTACGGTCGTACATTATATCCTCTATTATATTAAGTAGGGACTCTTGGGATCGGAAATCGGCAAACGCCAAATGTAGCTAGGTTGGCCGCCTTATTTATATAAGGAATATAGGTATAAAGTGAGTTCAAAAACCTTCCCTGCTTCGGGACTTGTAGATCGACTGGTCGATTAATAGAGATTTTTCCTCGCTATCGTTTAAAGGTACCGGAAGGCTTCAGGGAACAGGTGTCTCGCGTCTAGCCCGCTCTGCAAAACTTAAGTTTCTAAGTTATCGCAAAGGAATACTAGATAAGCCATTCTGAGGTTTACTTAACAAAAAAAAMMAAAAAAAAACTGGGTAGAGTTGATATTGCAGTGATTGTACATGGGACTATTTGAGGGGACATATTTCCAGGATGGTGTCTAAGTTCGCACCTTTAGAGTCGCACCATGCACTGCAATGCCCAACTCGAACCAGTTTTCCGCTAAACCTCGGAATCGCTAAGGGAGGAAAGAAATAGAATACTGCATGCAGCCCTGCGTTGCCTTCTCTTTACTCATGCAGTTTTTTCAGTTCTCAACCTCGGAACGGCTATTAGACTGAATAATCTTCGAAGTATCCCCAGTCCAACTAGGAAAAAAGAAAAAGAAAAAGAAAAAAGATCAAAAAAGCGGAAAAGAAAAAGCAAAACAACAACAACATAATGTATCAACCTACTAAATAAAACAATTATAAATGTGAGTTCTTTAACTCCTGTTATTACACCATAGATCAAAGGATTTCCATCGTCCATAAAGACAAGACGTCAGCTTGTTGACATGTTGACTCCGCTGATCTGGACCACTAGTGCACAGCACAGTGCTATCAACTATCCATCCAACTACTATGGGTCGTATACACCCAATATGCCAACAAAACTTTATCATGACTCTCGTGTTAATGATGATAATTTTGATCTGTTTAACTTACCTGGAAAAAGAACAGCTGCTGTAAGTGCTGGATATTTTTGTATCTACTTTTGTGTATTCTATAGGTTTGTCTGTCCGTCCAGTAGCCTGTCTCGGTTCGYGATTGCCTTTCTTTGTCCGTTCATCACCATGGTGGCCGGAACGTCATTAACTGCGCATGCCTACCTGTTCATTAATCCTGTTCAGTCCATTTCTCTGTGTCTCTGTGTCTGTCTGTCTTTATGTCTATCTATCTGAACTGTTTGTATGTTCCCAGTGCATGTTTGTATAATTTAGGTCTCTCGTTCTGACTGTCTGCTTCTGGTCAGTACACCTGTCCGTTTCTTTAAGGTTTCTTTAAAAATTTGTTTTTTCTAATTGTCTGGCCATGGCTGTTCATCTGTCAATCGCTTACTCGTAGTAAAAGCAACGAGTGGCAAGTTACTTATTATTATTTTTTATTGTCCTTAGGTCCAAGTAGCTCTTGGGATGAACCTAGCTTCTCTAAGATACGATCGTCTCCTTGATTACAGTGACGAACTTCAACACATAAATGCATCGAAGATTGTCAAGAGACACAGCCAGCGACTTAATGGATATACAGCTACAGTGATAGAATCGAGAAATAGAAAGCGCTATCAGGAGAGGCATTTAACGTACCCCTACTTGGTGCCAGGATGGATCACTAATAGTATTCATACGTAACCGTATAATAACTTGCTCGTAATCGTGTAACTCGAGCGGTTAAACGTTAATCTCATACAAAAATAATATTTCACTTAATGATGGATTTGGTTATATTATTTTACGTGGATTGGAAATTCAAAATTAAACGAAAAGCATGATTAAATTTAAGCTGTTTTTGATGTACTGAAATGAATTGTGTTGCGTTTGTATCGTGATTATGACTATGCTAACGTCGACATCCAATGATTATACAATCATCGACCTTAAAATTCCATAGATGGAGTATCTTCACCGATGCCTTCACGATAGAACATTATCCCAGGGGCGGAGGAAGCTTAAAATCTTTGGGGGGAGCACTGAAAAAATCTTTGGGGGAGGGGGGGGGGCACTGGGGATTATATTTAACTCTATGTGATAATGACAATGTTTTGTTTGATTGCAGACGCATGCGCCGTAAAACAATGACTAAGAACGGTTCCGCCGCCCCTGTATCGTGGGGTGGATCAGCCATAATTGCCGTCAGGTCCGAAGCCCATACGACTCCTCAGGTTCTGCGGATATCTTGGGGGTATGGCATGCATAATGGTATAGTTTTGGTGTTGAAATCCCAACGTATCCAGATATTCTTTTATTTGTATTTTTCAATTGATTGCTTGTCTCTTTGATTTGCTAACTGCCTCTTGCCTCTTCAACTGTCTTTCTTGAAGATGAACATTTGGCTTTTAATGAGCTGATTGCAAAACATCTTTTCAAATGTAAAAGGAAATCAATTTGTCCCAGCATTTCAAACAGTTTTGATTCAGCTTCATAGAAATCCCTATCCTTGACAAGCCGTAAGACAACTAGGCGAAAAATATGATTTCAGTTAATTTCATTCAAAGCAGCACGATGGTTACAAAATCCATTCATGTTAATTGATTTATTGAAGAAGCTTTACACATTTAAAAATGATCGCGTACTATTATACAAGTTGAATAGTGTCTCTTGGTCTTTTTATTTTGCATTTTTTTAAATTTTATTGAATAAGACGTTTTTTAAATTAATACAAGGAGACTGAAGGCAGCAATAGGCTTAACTAAAACATAGTGACAGTCTCGAGATAACACTCAATAATGAGCACCTTTAAGTTTGCCAGTTGCCAATTAACAGTTTTTATAGGCTACTTCGTAGTTATTGTTAAGAATTCTCACCATCTTGGCATACTAACTAAGCCTTATTAAATCTACTGGACCTAATCTTTATTTCTATCTCTCTACTCTCTAGTGACCGCCATTATCGTTCTTTCTCTCACCCCCTCCCCCAACCTCACTCCTTTCCTTTCTCTTCTTCTCTTTCCTCTCTCTCTCTCGCTCTCTCTCTCTCTCTCTCTAGCAACACTCCCTTGGGATTGTTTGGATAAKAAGGAAAGCCCGGATGACATGTGGGACAGATGGAAAGAGTTATTTCTCTCTGTTCTTGACTCGCACGCTCCGATCAAAACAAAACGAATAAGAAACAAGAAGTCTCCCTGGATGACAACTGATTTGAGGAAAGCTATGTACGATAGAGATAAAATGAAA